CTTTGAGCGAAAGGACGTGTAAATTGAGAACCATAATCTGTGTAGTACTAGAATTTGGTAAGTCTTGTGGAGGAAATAAATAAAGAAGAGATGTTGTCATAGTATGCCATTTTTAGTGACTAGTTTGTCGTTTTTTGCTCCGTTTCTCGTTTGCTCGTTTGTAGGACTCATCAATAATGATCATTCTTTGACTTTTTCACTTTTGTACTTTTAAACGATTTTTTTTGTGGACGGTGGGGTAGCAGGGCTTTTTTATGAGCAGTTTTGGGGAGAATTAAACAACCTTTTCATAGTTCGGCTTTTGAAGAGGGTTGTTTCATGGACTTCGGCCTTCGGCAGAGGGAGGGGGGGGGGGGTCGTATTTCCGAATTTTCCTCGACGCCTCGCTTGACCCTGTTCCCACGACAGGAAGGAGCCAGAAGCATGTTTCACGTTTTCGACAACGGAGAATAACGATGGCTCTTGCTACTCTTTAGCGACACAATCGTGTTAGAAAGAGTCGCCCGAAAATAACTTGATGTTTTCGGTTACGGTAGACCACCAGTAGTGTGAGGGCATCTAATACTCAGCCATGATGCGCAGCCAAGTAAACGCGCGGGAAACGAAATTAACGTGATGGACCCAAGGGCCCGAAGAATGCATTCGAGGATTAGTTCGCGTCCCCGACCAGCCGTCTCCCCCGCTCTTCTCACGTCAGCACCCCCTACCCATTGTATTGTGGGCGCCCCATTCACTGGGAAACCCCCACGCTATCGTGTTTGCTTTTTTTCTTTGGGTTCGTTTGCACTTTATTTCTCTTTATCGTTTGCCGATTTGTTTTGTGAATAAACTCTTTCAGTCCCGAATGTATCGTATCGATCGCGAGCGGTCCGTAAATCTGACTTGGGGGGTTAGGCCGCCGTTCGCGACCGGTCGGCACTTACTTAGCCTCCCTGTTTCGCGTTTTTTTGTGTGTGGCCGTCGTTTTTTTTCTTGGCAGCTCCTAGGCGGTGGCCTAGCGTGGCTGCTGAGTTTACGCACTGCAGGGGAATTCGCGAAGCTCCTTTAGACAGTGTGGTGTTTGGTTGCCTGTAACAAGGCAATCGATAGTTGCAATCCCAGTTATCTAAGGGTCTTTCTTTTGATCGGATTGCAACTATCGATTGTTTCGGGAAGGCACCAAACACCACACAAGTGCCGTGCTGCCTCGGAATGGCAGAAGCGGTGGAGGATATTGTGCAGCAAATTGAAGTGCACATTGCAGGACAACAGATGTCCGAGACGGTCGCCGCCGAGCAGATGGCAGTCGATGAGAATTTTAGCGATGCGGAGCTTGAAGAGCTCAAAGGTTTGTGACCGCGTTTTGAGAAAAGTGAAGGACACAGAGACCCTTCTTGTGGCTGAGGTAGCCAGGCATTGGCGGTCGTCAGATCCTAAACGGGTATCCTTTGAGGAGGTTGCTGGTAGGGTCACGCAAGACACCATGGGGATGGTGTTGGATTTGAAGGAGAGGTGCGTGAAAAGGAAGGAAGAGCACGAAGCTATTCATTAGTAGCGGCAAGCATGGGATGAGCGGATAAGAATGAGTTTGTGAGAAAGATAGAGGAGTTGGTTGAAACCTCTTTAGTGATGGACGATGTTGTGAAGTCCACGGGCTGGCAGCAAAAAATAGTGGATAACTGTTCTACCTTGAAAATGATGTCATTCATTTGCAGGCTAGGCTGGAGAAGCAACAGCGCGAGATCTACCAGCTGCGACAGCAAGTCAAGCGAGCTAAAACAGCGCGTGAAAGGGCAGACGTCAGGAAGGACGATGACATCTCAGGTAAGGGGCCTGCGGGAAATCGAGATTGCTTGGGAACTCTGAGAAAATATTGCAGTACTCACATGTTGGATACGGAGATAGAGTGGGCGCGAAGAGCGGCCCAGGGCAAGAACCTAACGTCAACGACCTACGAGAAACCCTATGGGAGGACGTCCGCAAGCAGAGGTCAGTTCACATCTTCTGGTAGTGAGAGTGATGTGAGTGAGGGTGAATGCACTAATAGGGTGAGAAATACCACCCAAGATGGTAGGTGCGCAGAGGCAGAGAGAAACGGCATGAGTGCCTACCTTAAGTATATCGCGTTACCGGGTGCGTGTATTTACTGGCTGTGATAGAGTTTACTCATGGGATGCATTTCAAGGAGCTTTTTCTCTCAAATATCTAAGGCATTGTTGGTCTGATAGCGAATTGGAAACACTATTTAAAACTAAGTTGGCCGAGAAGGCCAAGGCCCAGTATGAGGCATTACCCAGGGAGGTAAGGAGATGCACCTTCGGAGAGGTGATGCGGGCGATGTCTGAGGCATACAAGGACGAAGAGGATAGTAGCGTTAGGAAGACTGAGGCGGCTCAAAAAGCGAGATTCTCAGTCGGTAGCTGAGTTTTGTGTGGAGCTCGAAAGGCTGTCAGCAGATGCATACCCGGAGCTCGACAATGTCGCATTGGCAACTACAAGGGCGCAGCAACTTTATGAGCAGATGGTACACTGGCCAGAGTCATACCATTTGTTGGTAGCCATGGAGGCGACAGGAGCGGATGCATACGCCAATCTCAAGGAGACCGCAATGCGAATTGAACGGAGAAAACTTACACTCGAAAATGCTAAGGAGTCTGTGGCGTTAAAGGAAGCAGAAATGCGTCAGAGGGCAAACAAAGGTGATAGGAACCGAGGCGCAGAGTTCAGCAGAGATAACCGTGTCTGACCGGCTTAGCCTTGGAGGACGTGTACGAGACGCTCAAGTTGAATAATCTGCACTTACTGGTTGCGATCCATGGGGTTGATGTCTGTGCCACTATGCCATTCATGTCAACGATCCATGAGCCTGATCAACGACGAACGGCACAACGGCTGGATTTGCAATCGTCGAGCGTGCCGCACTGGACCGTCGAACGAGACCAGGGTCTACGTTCATGCCCGAAAGGATTCCTTTTTCGAGAACTGTAACTTTCCTGAGTCCACGGTGTTCGCACTGCCCTATTTCTGGCTGCGCGACATGGGCAAGGTGAAGGACAAGGAATACGAGCTCAACGTCGGCCACACCAGTTCAATTCAGTGGGAGCGGTTCTTCCGCGACGTATGTGTGGGGCACTTCAGGAGGAACCCGCCGATCATCGGAAGGTTCGGGTGCGAGATGGAAATTGACGAAACACTGGTTATCAAACGCAAATACAACCGCCGACGTTGGGTACGCAGGCACAAGTGGCTGTTTGGAGGCATTGAAAGAGGAAGTGGACTCCTTCGGATGGTCCGAAGGAAAGACGTTTCAACTCTACTGCGGCTCATCATGAAGTAGTACATCGAGCCCGGTACTACCATCCTCAGTGACAGCTGGAGAGCTTACAGTCGAATTGCTGCTCTGCCCAACGCATACAGGCATCTCCAGTGAAAACGTGAAATATGCTTCTGGCTTAGCTCACAGTTTTCCACGGTCTGGCTCCTTCCTGTCGTGGGAAAGTCTCCGATTCGATGACCTTTCCCACGGTCTGGCTCCTTCCTATCGTAGGAAAGTCTGATTCGGCGACCTTTCCCACGGTCTGACTCCTTCCTGTCGTGGGAAAGTCTCCGATTCGATGACCTTTTCCACGGTCTGACAGTCGGCGCTCTGAGAAAGGTGCCTAAGAGTACGCTCTGACTGTGAAGTGTTGTTTGTGACACCACATGGCGCCGGCGTCAAGACTGGATGTTATATTCGTGATCAGGATTCGCGTTATTCGCGTAAATTTTCGATTTCAAATGGCGAGTACTGTACAAGGAACCATGGTGGTAGTGGAGTATTGGGACCATAACAAACAAAGATGTGCCGCCTATGTCGTACAAAATGCGCGGTTAAGGCTCTTCTCGTTACGGGCCGTCAGGGTGAATAGCGGTCTAGGAATTCCTCGACCATGGCTCTCTACTGTGCGAGAGTAGTGCCGAGAGTGAATGTACGCGCGGAGAGCACAGACGGCTCGCGCATGGCGAGTGTGAATGTCCGCGCGGGAGAACGTAACTGATCAGGCGAAAATCCTCGACGTGCCGTTGAGGAATCCTCGAGCGATATTCACCCTGCTTGCAACTATCGCTACTCTCTCCGCCCTACCGAGCGATGTTACACACCAGTTTTATCCCGGCTTCCTTTCAAACATTGAACTTCTACCAGCACACGTGAAAGACCACTGTGCCTGAAAGAAACGTGCTTTGGGTAAAGGCAAGCCCAGGCTATGACTAGTGTACAGGAGCAGTTCATAATGATGGTTTGGCTGCGGAGTGAACCGAAGGTGCAAAATAGGGCAAGAGAAACCATCGAAATTGCTCAAATTGAGGCGCCTAAACATCCTGTAAGGTTGGCGGAGGTACGACGGAAAGACAGAGCCGAGGGAAGCCATAATATGCGAGGAGCACGCTGATCTCTAAATCAGTCGCGGTGGATGGCGAGGGCTGCAATGGAAGTTGATGGTTGGAAGACTAGGCGCCCTGATCGCATATACATACTGTGGGAGGAAGCTAGCACAACCTTTGCAGGTACAGATCCAACGAGCTCAACTGCCGCATGGTTCCTACTACTGGACTTACTATGTGAGTTTGCCTTTAGATTCCTACTGAGATCCGATAACATGTTTCTTAGTCAAAATCCTTTCGTCGTTCTCATCGAGAGTTGTTAGTGAAAAGAGGACTTCCTCTAGAAAGAGGAATAGGAAAAGAGTCTCCAAGTATTTCGAGAACAACTTACCTTGACACTACGGTCGCATATACGATGGCTGCGTTTCCAATTACACTTATTGTAGGGATCACAACGTAGAGGACTTGATAAGTAAGTGAAACCGTATTTGAAGACATTCGAAAGAACTTGTATCTAGAAACACTGTTTCTCTGTAGTGCAACAAGTTCATTGTGTTACTACATTGACGAAGGTCATTTTGACGAGATTGAGACTGAGAAGCAAGACTTTTTCAGCAAGCACAACCTCCAATCGCAACGGAGGTGTCGTCTGAATGTACAATACCGCCACTAACTTTTGAAATTTCTCCGCTGAGCGACGGATTTGCAGCGTCGCAAAGCGTCGCCCCTTCATAACTCCCCCCAAAGCGGGTCAAATGATTGGTGCTCTACACCATTGGACTCGTCTCTCTGTGGCGAGTCTAACCATGTGGAAAACTACGGTACTCGCCGTAAAAAAATCGAAAAAAAACACGCGAAAAACGCGAATTCGCGTTTTTTTTCGTTTTTTCGTTATAACTCGCTTCAGAATTAAGATTTTCGAAATCTGAAAAAAGCATTGAACTCAGCTCGTCGAGTTCTATAAGAATGTGCTTTTAACTTTTGGAAAGCCCTACTTCAGATTGCGCCATGCACTCGAGCTTTGGCTCGAGAAAAAATTGTTTGAATGTGGTGCGCATATAATCCCGCTTATGCATCATGATCGTTCTTCAGAGAGATGGGTCTCAGCAGTTGCCCCAGAACGCGCCGCGTATTCAACATCGTCCATTGTATTGTGAATGGATCGATTGCTTTTTTCCAGATTTCATGGTCCCTATTCCACAGCGGCGCGTTAAATGACTTAACACGTAGTCCCTGCGCTCAACATCTCCTCCTCTCGTGTTCAAATGGAAATCATAGATCAATTCTCGGCTGGACAGTTAGCCTATCTGGTGAAATTTTCCAATGTTTGAGCGAAGGTTTTTCCGAAATCTGAGGAGGTAGCGGGGAAATTTCTTCACAGTTGTAGAGTACGCTTACTTGTGTGTAGGAATAAGATCACACACTTGCTTGCAGATGACCGCTCCCTGCGTGCTGTGGCCATGAACATGCCTCCTCGTCATGCCCTAGCCTATTTGGTGAAATTTTCCAATGTTTGAGCGAAGGTTTTTCCGAAATCTGAGGAGGTAGCGGGGAAATTTCTTCTTGTTGTAGAGTACGCTTACTTGTGTGTAGGAATAAGATCACACACTTGCTTGCAGATGACCGCTCCCTGCGTGCTGTGGCCATGAACATGCCTCCTCGTCATGCCCTAGCCTATTTGGTGAAATTTTCCAATGTTTGAGCGAAGGTTTTTCCGAAATCTGAGGAGGTAGCGGGGAAATTTCTTCTTGTTGTAGAGTACGCTTACTTGTGTGTAGGAATAAGATCACACACTTGCTTGCAGATGACCGCTCCCTGCGTGCTGTGGCCATGAACATGCCTCCTCGTCATGCCCTAGCCTATTTGGTGAAATTTTCCAATGTTTGAGCGAAGGTTTTTCCGAAATCTGAGGAGGTAGAGGGGAAATCTCTTCACTGTTGTAGAGTACGCTTACTTGTGTGTAGAAATAAGATGACATACTTGCTTGTAGACGAGCGCTTCCGCCGTGCTGTGGCTGTGAACATGCCTCCTCGTCATGCCCTTGTGGAAAGATCAGATTTTTTGCATTTCCAGATGAACTCGCAGACCTGAAATGTGCCCCGTTAGATTCCCCGTGAAAAATGCTATCGAATGATATGCATTACTTCCCCAGTTGAAACTTTGGTTTTTCACCGTTTTCAGCCTTCCCCTATTGCCGATTGGGCATCCCACGATTACTGCCCCAAAATCTCAAAGTTTCATTTTTCGTCGAAACTTTGTCTATTGGGGTAATTCGATGCCCTGATTACGAATATGACATTCATTTTTGATGCTGGCGCCATTTGGCGCCATTTGGCGCCAATTTTCACCCAAATCGCTGAAAACTTGTGTATAGGGGTTATTTGGGGTCCTGATCACGAATATAACATCCAGTTTTAGCGTCACAAACAACACTTCACAGTCAGAGCGTACTCTTAGGCACCTTTCTCAGAGCGCCGACTGTCAGACCGTGGGAAAGGTCATCGAATCGGAGACTTTCCCACGACAGGTCGCAACCAGTCCTGTAACTGCAGGTGATCCAATTCAAGCTTCCTGTACACGTCCTTCAAGGGAAAACGTGAGATATGCTTCTGGCTTCAGCTTACAGTTTTCCTCGGTCTGGCTCCTTCCTGTCGTGGGAAAGTCTCCGATTCGATGACCTTTTCCACGGTCTGACAGTCGGCGCTCTGAGAAAGGTGCCTAAGAGTACGCTCTGACTGTGAAGTGTTGTTTGTGGCGCAAAACTGGATGTTATATTCGTGATCAGGACCCCAAATAACCCCTATACACACGTTTTCAGCGGATTTGGTGAAAACAGCCGTGGCGCCAAATTGGCGCCAAATTCGAGAGGAGGAGATGTTGAGCGCAGGGACTACGTGTTAAGTCATTTAACGCGCCGCTATGGAATAGGGACCATGAAATCTGGAAAAAAGCAATCGATCCATTCACAATACAATGGACGATGTTGAATACGCGGCGCGTTCTGGGGCAACTGCTGAGACCCATCTCTCTGAAGAACGATCATGATGCATAAGCGGGATTATATGCGCACCACATTCAAACAATTTTTTCTCGAGCCAAAGCTCGAGTGCATGGCGCAATCTGAAGTAGGGCTTTCCAAAAGTTTAAAAACACATTCTTATAGAACTCGACGAGCTGAGTTCAATGCTTTTTTCAGATTTTGAAAATCTTAATTTCTGAAGCGAGTTATAACGAAAAAACGAAAAAAACGCGAATTCGCGTTTTTCGTGTTTTTTTTCGATTTTTTACGGCGAGTACCGTAGTTTTCCACATGGTTAGACTCGCCACAGAGAGAGCACCAATCATTTGACCCGCTTTGGGGGGAGTTATGAAGGGGCGACGCTT